TTGCTGCAGTAGATGTTTGCTTTGAATGTAGATGAACTGCTGAGGCCTAAATTCACTATATTTCACAGAATTCAAGCTTCTTTCTACATAAACACTGAAGTACAGGTAGCTGGCGGGTAGCATATGCCTTTGTGAATGTACCTAAACCTCATCTTCACTAGTTATTTGTTAGATTGAATTAGATTTCAGTACATAAGTATGTTAGTTTAGATATTGTTTAGATTTTCTGAAAATGTGACAATGTAGCGACATCTGCTGGAATGTTTGATAATTTTTTTTTTTTTTATCACCACTTCCTTTCGATGTATCACTGTTTCTTTGCAGTGTTGACAGACATATTTCCCCCAAGACACTTTGTGAAAAATATGCCAAATAATGCATTACTTGACCTTGTACTGAACATGAACTCAGACAATCATTTCTATATCCAAACATGTCAAAATGAAAGAATGTATTTCTATATTTAGAAATGTAATTACCATGTCTCTGTCAGAGACCCAAAGGCTTTTATTTTGTAAAACATGCGATTTCACTGCCTTTATGCAGTTCTCACACACACACATACACATATATATATATATGTGTGTGTGTGTGTGTGTCACACATTTTATTCCTCTATAAATATTTTTTGTTGAAAAAAAAAGATGTGTTGGAGCAAAACCCTATCATAAGACCTTGTATTTTTTTTAAACATGTCAGAGTAATTGCTATTTGTTATGAAGAGGTAAAGAAGAGAAATATTTGAAAACATACTGACCCTTTGAAATGCGATATAGATCCTATGCCTCATATTTTGCACAGTGTATATATTTTTACAGTATACATTTTTATACAAATGTATTTGTGCAACTGTAAATATTTTTTTGAGGTTATCTTTGTACATATCTTTATTGTATATACAGCCTTTTATCATTAAAATGTTTCTGTATTTGAAACCACTGAAATTACTTGTTCTGTGTTTTGGAGGGCAAAACATGTTTCCAGCAATGCATAACCTCAGTTATGATCCAAAAGAAAGCTACACAATAAATAAACTTAACATTTCACATTGTACCAGAGATAATGTTTTTCTCAAAGGGAAAGATCATAACTTATGCTCTACAAAACAAGATCGTTTTTTATCAGCCGAAGAACTCCTAGCCCATTACATCCAAAAGCAATCAGGAATCAGGCTTCTTGATTCCATTTTTTTATATTCCTGATAGTGTAATAACCCCAAATAAAAACTTGGCATTGAAGTTCAAACCAGAAGACTGAAAAGTCACCCTGAAGATTCAGGAGCGTTTTAAGGTTTGCCAAAAGCTTGGCTTGGTCCCTGCTGATAGGAAACAATATCTGATATCGCAATTGCATCCTTTAGGAAAGGTAGTTCCATGGGGATTGTCCCTGTAAAAAGTTCAGTATGACATCTCCAACCGCCTTAGTTGTGTGTGATAATCAAAAATAAGACTCTCCAGTACATTTGCTGGTGATTCGGTCCAATTGACATTACAGTTCCATTCCTCAGAACTTTTTGCACGTGTTTATATCACTGCGGCATTTTGGACATTTGTGAGTGACGTCTTTGCAGGAATCCACGAAGAATGGGATTAGACAGCAGCCCGCAACACAACTACACAAGAAACAGTCATAAATATAAATATGTCATGACAGAAAGACATAAGGGTAATACAGGACAGGAATTAAAATAAGTAAATAGTTCACCTCACCAAAAAACCATGGATATCAAACACAGAAGATAGGTCACACTGCCAGCTTTGGTCGTGACCTCTGTGGTTATATATTGGCGACAGAACGGACACTGTGTCTTAGAGGAGTATCGAGGAAGTTGCTTAACGTCCAGAATAACCTGCGGCGCTATAAGAAAACACACAAGCCGCTTTCAGGAAGCTCTGGTCCTGTTGTATTTTGTATTGACGCAGTTGAAATTGTAAATGTAACTGTAATTAATACATTAATAGACTGTATATACAAATTGTGAGTTCTTCATTCTTTGTCACTGCAATTAAATTATTATAGTTTAATTAGCTTATATGTAGCTTGCAAATTATTTTGTACTTTATTAGACTACACTTAAAGGGGTAGTTCACTTTTTAAAAAACGTTTGCTGATAATTTACTCACCCCCACCTCATCAAAGATGTCCATGTCTTTATTTATTCAGTCGAAAAGAAATTAAGGTTTTTGATGAAAACATTCCAGGATTTTCTTCATATAATGGACTTCAATGGGAACCAAACAGTTCAAGGTCCAAAAGAGAGTTTCAGTGCAGCTTCAAAGGGTTTAACCGACACCAGACGATGAATAAGAGTCTTATCGAGCGAAACGATCGCTCATTTAAAAAATAATAAACAAAGTTTAAGTTTTATAAGCTCAAATGCTTGCCTTGCTCTGTTCTGTGATGAGCGTTCGTGACTCTCCTGTTCGAACTCGTTCATCAAAATGAACAAGTCTTTTTTCGAGTCATGACTCGAAGGGTCCTAGATAAGACCCTTATTCATCGTCTGGTGTCGTTTAAAGCCCTTTGAAGCTGCACTGAAACTCTCATTTGGACCTTAAACCGTTTGGTTCCCAATGAAGTCCATTATATGGAGACAAATCCATCAAAAACCTTAATTTCTTTTCGACTGATGAAAGAATGACATGGACATCTTGGATGACATGGGGGTGAGTAAATTATTAGCAAAAGTTTTTTTTTTTTTTTAAAGTGAACTACTCCTTTAAAAAGTGTTACCTATTTTTACTTGTTAGTTCATGTTAACTATTGTAGTCCACTAATGCTAAGAAATGGAACCTTATTAAAAAAATATATATTAAAAAAAAACTTACTAACCTGGAAATGGAGGTGGACTGTCTACAAATATGACGCCAGTCCTAGTCGTGTCTGCAAAATAAAAACATACAAACATATGACAACTATACTTTTACATAGGCCTACGACTACACAGTTCAATTTCCAAATGTTTGAATATATTTGGCAAAAAAATTGTCAAGATGGCAAACCTCATTTTACCTATTAAAAGAGAGCCGCCCCCCTCTTGCATTTTCTCAAGTTCAATCTTCCTTTCAGAGAGAACTTTAAGATCCTCGTCAATTTGTTGAAGTTCTCCAGTTTCTTTGGAATACTCTATTGGTCACAAAGATCAAGTATGAGCACAAAACATAGTAAAAATCTCTATATTCACAAACATTTCTTCATTTAAAAAAATAATCTCCAAATGTCTTTCACACTTTCTCTGGCTTCATTTGTAAATCATCAAATAGTTCCATCGACTCGTACTGACCGTGCTCATTTTGCCCGTTATTTCGCTTGAATTGGATGAGCATGTGCAGGACGTTGCGTCTGTCCGTGAGCTGCTGTCTGCGAAAGGATAGCTTGTTCAACTCCTCAAAAACATTCGCCAAATGCTCATCAGATTGTTTAGGCATGTTGAGGGTTGAGACGACAGGTCACTTAGACCTCAGAGAGCCTCAAACCTTCATACAGTGTCCTTTCCTAAAGAGATGCAATAGAGCGTCACGAATGCTGTTTCAAAGAAAGTTTTTTCCTGATATGAAAAATACAGCTTAACCCAAGCACAACTACAATGAGAATAAACAGAAAATATCTTATTTAAGTAAAAGTGGTTAAAAATGACAAATAGTTACCCATGTGTGCTGTTGCGTCTCATCAGCCGCTCTTCACATTCATTGCAGTATAAAGGAAATAGGAGGCTGGTCATCATATTACTGTAGTGTAACAGTATGAGGAACATGTTCACAATATTTAAAGTGTGTGGTTTACCTGTATTTTACTAAATTCGTGGCATGTCACGACAAGGGTCTTAACCTGTAACTGTCTATTTAGTTTATATTTAGTTTTATAGAAGGTTCTGGTGAGACTATATTACATTTACAACAAGGGGAATAAAACTGCACTCTTAAAAACAACGTGTATTTTAATCATGTTCCGATTTTAGTATTTTGATCAATGTAAAAGCAACATAAAATCCCAAAAATATGACTTTAAAGACCCTTATAAGATGTGTAGTTACAGTGAGTTTTGTGGATGTATATTAATATATGTATATTAATAACATCAAGTTCATCAACTAGGCCTAGCCAACATTTGCATCCTTGCCTAACATTTGTATTTGCATGACATATCAGGTTTCTGTTTTTGTTTTGTAGTTGCTGCCTGTGTTTGTTCAGTGAAATAAAAAAGGTGATTTTTTTTAAGGACATTGTCCAGAGTTCATGGTGACCACAGCTGCCATGTTCCAAAAAGGACAAAAAACTATAAAACATAAAACTTGTACACTATTTCAAAACTCCTGAAATCTTATGAAATTTAGGTTGTTATTCAAGTAAAAATCTTTCCTTTGGTTGATTTTGTTTAAAGTTAGACAGCAGTGTAGTCACTTAAATGTTGTTGTGTGGAAAAGAGGTTAAAAAGCATTTTGGGGCAAAAAAAAAAAAGGCTTTTTGTTCCACAGAAAATAACAACATAAAGTGTTTTGAATGCCATGAGGATGAGTTTTCCTTTTTGGATGAACTATTCCTTTAAATGTCTCGACTATGTACAAATTAGAGTGATAAATAATAACTGGGGATTGTCCGTGTTCATTTTTTCTTTAGTTTCTTCAAAAATGTCACTTCATCTCTGTTCCTGATCCCGTAGCTGAGAATAAAAGGAAAGCACAGTCATATTTAAATCCCGTAATTAACGTAATTCAAAAGCAAATTAACTATTGTGCAGTTTTCACACATTTCTACAAAAGCAGCCGATTGTTTGGACTCACTCCTTCAGCTTTCTCTCGTCATCTTCTAATTTCTCTCCGTTGAAGACCAAATGAAATGTCCTCCAGACGTATTTCCTTGATAGGGTACATAGATTAGGGGGGGAGGATTACCTATTGAAACCTACAGTATCATGTAGCCTACCTGGCACATTTTTCATGTCTTACCAGCTGATGTGCTTGACACCTCCCTCTCGCTGTTGTTTCAGCTCCATATATCTGCGAATGGCTTTCTTGAGATCCAGAACCGTAGCAGACTGCACAACCACGATAGCTGTGAAGAGATTTGCTCCGGTTAGAATCAATAAATGTGTGACAATTCAGAGCGACTTCAAGAAAACTCACGCATGACTTCTTCATCAGCCTTACACACACGAACAGTCATGGCCTGACCGTATTCCAGAGCCACCTGAGAGTTCACCTCCTCCAATGTGACCTGGACAGATGGAAGAAATTTCAGGGAGCAGAAAAGATTATAAAGAAATGTTCTGCCGAAAGTCATTAATAATCGTTGATTTTAACATTATTCGAATAAAAACTTGATTGTAAGGCTATTTGATGGTACACCTGAATTGGCAGGTCACACAGTAAAGGGTCCTGCACTATCAGAGCCAAACCTTCCTCGAAGATATCAAGAAATTCAGAATGAGGCAATGCCTCCTCATCCTCTTCTTCTTCTTCTTCTTGCTCCTCTTTAACTTCATCTACAACGCTTTTCTCGGCAAAGTCAGCCACGTCAACATTCTTTGGGATTTCTTCCATTAATTCATCCATTTTAAACTTATAATAAGCAAAAAAATACCGATTTAAGAATATATACAGAAGTACTAGACATATAAAAGTTGACAATGAATATAAATAGAATTTGGAAATAATACATAAAGCACTTTACGGAGATTCTTTCTGATGAAACTGTAACATCAACATGCTGCGTTTCAGCTTTCTTCGTAAAATTAACAACATACGCTGTCGGAAGATTTATATGATGCACCAAATTTTAGTTCCGCGTACGTTTTTAAATTACATTTCCGTGATTTGCTATTTAATATATATTTTAATTCAACAATTTTATACATTGTTAGTTATATATAACATTTTTATTACGTATATACACTCTATAATGAAGGTTTCATTGTGTTTATATTACGTTTCATGTCGAGCCTAGAATAGTGAGGCACGTTTATTATCATGTCCTTCCTGTAGCAAGTTCTAGCAACTGCAGCTGAGAATGTGTGTAAACACCAACTTTAATTGGATCAGAAAAACAATACCAGTATTTAGTAAACAATAGTATATAAAACCGTTGAAAATGCTTATGTTTTGTCCAACTTGTGGGAATGTTTTAATCGTGGAGGAAGGACAAAGATGCTTCAGATTCGCGTGTAATACATGCCCATATGTGCACAATGTCACGAGGAAGGTAAGTTAATGTGAAGTTACCACCACAACATATAAACAAACACGTGAAAATGGAACACATAAATAATTTGAACGTTCGATTCGAATAAAGTCAAAAGATGAAGTGATGTGACAGTTTGATTCGAACTTGTCTGATGATGCAAAGCTTTGATTAAATTACGCATGGAATAGAGTGATTGTTCGATTGTAAACGTGATTTGAACAATTGCACAATGTGAACGTTCCATTCATATACATGTAATATGTGAACAATGTGTAAGCTTTTATTTTAGAACATGAGATGTACATAAGTGTACATGAAACTGTAGGTCACATGGCAATGACCACATGACGGATGTAATATGTTTGGATTACATTCACTATATAAAACACTTTTTTTTGAAAAAAAAAGGTTAATACATATGCAGAAGAAGAAGAACCTAAATAGGAGTATGCCGGTTTGGTAGCAGCCACTCTCTCAGTCCACCAAGGGTTTTTGGTCATATTATAAAGGTTAACAAAAGACCTAAAATCAACCATGACATGTAACACTTCTCAACCCACTATCCATTTTGGTGGGTTATTTTGATTAATAAATGATATCCTCCAACCCGAATGCTCCAACATTAGCAAAACAAAGCGTCGCACTTTAAAATGTGGGTTTAAAATTGTTAAAGTATTTCTAATATATGTATGTATTATCCGTAAACAATGAGATTATCTGGCAAAAAAATCTAAGCTTTCAATTCAATAATTTAGATAAGATTTCATAATAAATATATATTCAAATATCTGAATGGCGCGGGTAACTTGAACATCTAGTAGCCAAATTGGCTGCTGTGTGTGTGGAAAAGTTCACTTATTAGAACATCCCTCAAAAACGTCATCAATGTAGGTTTTTGAGACTGTGGCAGCATAAAAAAATTCTTCTATAATATATATATATATATATATATATATATATATATATATTTGATGTGTGTTGAAATAATTGGTTGGTTATTGTGACAGGTAAATTGCAGGAAGTACCCCAAACTGAAGGAGGTTGATGATGTTCTTGGGGGCGCTGCTGCTTGGGAAAATGTTGATTCTACTCCAGGTAAAACAGTGAATCCTACTGTAATAAAAATACTTAAATATGTGTTTAATCACACGTTCAGGTGGCTTTAAATAAGTGTGCTTGAGTATAACATTTTCTCTTTTTTTTTTTCTTTGAAGAACCTTGTCCAAAATGCGAACACCCACGGGCCTACTTTATGCAGATTCAAACTAGGTCTGCTGATGAACCAATGACAACTTTCTACAAGTGCTGCAATATACAATGTGGTCATCGTTGGAGAGACTAAATCAGTCTTGGACTTTGAGACTCAAAATATGTGTTAATAATAAAATATTCTGTTTTCATTATATGTATATAATTCTTTTCAATCATTTATATGGATTAAACTGTAACAATCTACATCACCACATCGTTTACATCTGTGTTGTTCTGGCCTGACATTCATTCTTGTGTGTGTGTGTGTGTGTGTGTGTGTGTGTGCGAGTAATAAAATAACACCTCTTACATGTTATAGTCTTTTTATTTCTTCAAATAATCATTAAGTTCACAAGTTTTGTTTTACATACACATTTGAGACTTCAGTTGAGCGTGGCATCTGGTGTGCCACGGACTATTCTCAAGGCATCTATCTACAACTGCATTCCTGTAACACAAGCTTGACATCTACTGTCTGCAACAGCATCAAGTCACTTCACAAAGCAAGTAGACCTACGTAGTCAAGAGCATATTAGATTAAAGGGAGCCAGCCTGGATTGTGCAAGTAAACCTCATGAACATGCATATTTACTGGAGATTATCTTTCAGTAATCAAACAAGACATCATATATTTTGATGGAGAGGTATCTTGATGATTTTATAGGTCTTGGTTAATTTTCGATTAAATAAATAAAGAAATTAAAGGGTTAGTTCACCCACAAATGAAAATTAAGTCATTAATTACTCACCCCCATGCTGTACCAACCCCGTAAGAACTTCGTTCATCTTCGGAACACAAATAAAGATATTTTTGATTGAATCTGAGAGCTAGATCAGTCCTACATAGACTGCCTAAGGGACTGGCTCTTGGCGGCCCATAAAGTCATTAAAGAAAAGGTTTAAATATTCCATGTGCCTACGGCGGCTCAATTTTAAGTTTATCAAGCGACGAGACTACTTTTTGTGCGAAAAAAACATAAATAACGACTTTATTCCACTATTCCATTACTTCCTTATGGGCGCATGCGCGAGAACTGAGACGAGGACGTTCTCATTCGTCTACTTCTTGTTACCGGCTGCTCACTGCTTAGGAGTATTACCGCCACCTACCGTATAAGATGATGTGCTGATATAGCTGGAAGCGCAAAACTTTCTGTTTACAAGCAGAGGAAGATGCGCGCTGTATATACGCTTTTCAATTTGCGTATTTTTCGCACTATAAGGTGCACTTAAAAGCCTTTAATCTTCTCAAAAAACGACAGTGTTCCTTATAATCCGGAGCGCCTTATATGTGGATCATCATTCATTTTATACGGTAGGGGGCGGTAATACTCCTAAGCGGTGAGCAGCCGAGCTTAACAAGAAGTAGATGAATGAGAACGTCCTCGTCTCAGTTCTCGCGCATGCAAGTCGTTATTTATGTTTTTTTCGCACAAAAAGTAGTCTCGTCGCTTGATAAACTTATAATTGAGCCGCTGTAGGCACATGGAATATTTAAACCTTTTCTTTAACGACTTTATGGGCCGTCAAGAGCCAGTCCCTTAGGCAGTCTAATTAGGACTGATCTAGCTCTCAGATTCAATCAACAATATCTTTATTTTTGTGTTCCGAAGATGAACTAAGGTCTTACGCTGCCTTCACACTGGCAGTTGAAATCAGCTCCGTAATACGCAATACGTTCCCAACGGACGTCGTACTACACAGTGAAAAGCGTCGGACGCGGGTAGAACGAAAATGGCGGAGAGATTAAAGTTTGATTCTGTCAGTTCTGTATGATCTCTCTGATTAGGGTTATGCTGCGTGAGGAAAGTTGCTCAGGACGTTGACATGTCAGGTCGGCTAAAAAATGTGATATATAGTGGTCAATAGTTCAATGTCTACCTTCAATTTAATTGTATTAACTGCCCTTATAAACGTTAGAAAGTCATGAAAATAAAAAATGACATCACAACTTATCGTTATAAAATCAATATTTATTTTATTAAAAGTTAATAATTCAGGTTTGTTTATCAGTACCATAGCAACGCTCAACTTCCGCTGGAATTGTCGGATAGGAACCGTCCGTAGCTTTTCGCAAGAGTTCAAATTTTTGAACGCATCCGGATGACCAACGGACACGATTTTCTTCGCACCGCACTCGGTCGGACCCGTTTCGGACCCATTCGCATGCGGTCTGCGAATCTCCATAGGAAATGAATGACTTCCGGTCGTTTCGCAGCCGCATCGGAGCTGATTTCAACTGCCAGTGTGAAGGCGGCGTTACGGGGTTGGTACAGCATGGGGGTGAGTAATTAATGACTTAATTTTCATTTTTGGGTGAACTAACCCTTTAAATGTGGCAAAAGTCTTTTTGCGACGCCTGCATACACGTCGTATGAGGCAAATGTGCAAATACTATGAAAAATCCAGCGTTCATTTGACAGATCTGATTAAAAAGAATCATTTACAATGAAATAGCAAGTTTAAATACATATACACACACTAGCAATTGCTATTTTTTTTCCTTCATGTTAAATACAACAAAAGACGGATATTCCGATTTTTAAACGGCTATAATATTGGCAGATTGTCTACAGGAAAAAGATGATTAATATCTGAACTTGTTATTAATTAGAAAATGTTGTCCAAATGTCTTTACTTTTGCCCAATACACTTTGATGAATCTATAGTTACGATTCATATTTTTGAGCTTTCAGGACGGATTTTGTGGATAAAAATATATACATTCGCCCGTGCGTGTCAGGATCTATCCGTATCCGTACACAGAGAAAAGTAGCTCCGCGTTCATGTGTTTGCATTAGCATGAAGACTAAAGTTTGCGTCACAATAAACGAAAAAAATTCACCGTAAATCATTCAAAACGGCAAACCTCCAAATAAACCCCTGAACACTGGTAAACTGATGCTAGAGCCGTAGCACGACCAAAACACATTTTGTTTTACCCTTCAGGGACAAGAGTTACATGGTGTAGTTTTAGGCTTTAGCTACCTCAAATTGAGATACATAGGCCTGGTTTCACAGACAAGGCTCGATTAAACCAGGATTAGGCGTTAGGGCGTTAGTTCACTTAGGACATTTAAGTGTCTTTTATAAACATGCCTTATAAAAAAAGACAAACAATGAGACAAAAAAATGTTGCTGACATATTTTAAGAAATGTCAGTGCACTTTGCTTTTGGTTAGACAGCTCAAACATGCATTTTAGTCTGGGACTAGGCTTAAGTCTTGTCTGTGAAACCGAGCGATAGTCTAATCACTGCTGATGTTGTAGTGTTTGAATTTCATACAAGTTATTCAGAAATTATCAAATAAAGGAAACAATCCTGAGAAATAACAAGTCTGACCACATAAAAAGGAAAAAAAAAAAGGACAATCGACCTTAATGATAATTAATAATACAGTGCTATATATATATATATATATATATATATATATATATATATATATATATATAGTGTCTGAGCACTGTGGATGTTGTAGCTTTTGTACCATTTTCTGTACCATTTCAGCAATAATTCACATTGTCGGACAGAGCAAAATGGTTTTTGAAAGTTTACAATTTCACAACCAGAACAAACATCTATTCCGAAATGACCAAATAACAGAAACAAATCTCTTTGGATGATTCCACAGAAATCACAATCTGACCACAAAAAAAGGAAAAATCAGGACAATAATCATTTAAGTCCTTGTGACCTGTTACACACAGTATTAATAAGTGAACGGTTAATCTGCTTTGAGTTATGAAGCCCAGTGCAGCAACAAGCCCAGCTTGACACACTGAGGGGACATATGGCCCAATAGAGCGCTATATGCAAGATTACAGTGATGCCATGCAGCGCATTTCATCATGCTGGTGAACTCCAACAGCAAAGCAGCTTTGAACAGCCTTTACAAGAGATTTCTTCCCTTTTTGAAGAAGACGACGACAACAACTTCACCATGTTAAGTAGAAATCTAAAAAAAAAATAACGCAACTGCCACTTCTAAACATGTTGTTCAGCAGTTCTGGCCAGAATAAATGTTAAAATAAATATGTGATTAGAGATGTTTCTACACTGATCTTAATATCAGCAAACAGACCTAGTTTAGTAATGACCGGTAAACGGACCTGGATAACCGATGATAGTTTAGAGAAGGCTCAAACAGCTTATTGACGACAACACAGAACAGCTAGTGTAGTGGTTAGAAAAGCACCATGGCTATAGTTCAGATTCACAGTTCAAAAACATATTAAATGTATATTGGTTGAATTCCACAAATATGACCCTAACGTGAACAGCACGGCATATTAAAAAGCTATCGAGTATCCCTAAATTACTAAAAGGAGATTTAAATGGACATACATATTCCTTCTCAATAAAAACCTGTCAAATAAAATGACACGCACGTTTCATAAGCATATCAAATCAAATGAGTCTCGTCGACAAACATGAGAAACTGAAAACATGACAAAAGTGAAAAAAAATTTTCCCCCATAACATTTGCATAAAATGCCAAATATAGACGCAATTTTCACATGTAAAAGCAACAATGTTACTCCAGGACAATGTTAAACAGTCCCAGACCCAGCTATTAAAGACTTTCATTTCAATATGTTAAAATAAAACAATAATGCATAAAATAATAATCCTACATTCCAACAATACTGACCCTGTAGTGAAATTCAGTTGTTTTCGCTACTCAGTAATATTCACAAATGAGCTTAAGGTTACCCTTTTCACATATTTTCTAGATGCTTACACTTTGTTTTACTGCTAAAAAATAAAATAAAAAATTGAAACAGTGTTTTGATGAAACAATGACCATTGTGCATATTAAAACGTGCCCTCTGCTTCATTTTAGAGGTGTCAGTAACAACATCAAGTACCTGGAAATTAAATGTGAGAATCTATAGTTACATAAAGCGAGAAATGGCTAGAAATACGAGCCGTCAGCTGAGGCGATCAGAGAGCAGAAGGAAATGAGAGTGAGTCGTCAACACCCACCAGAATGAGGTCACAGCACGATCGTTAATGGGATAGACTGTTAGCATATGCGCTTGTATGTGTAAATATAGCCCTTGCAGTTGGGGCACGTGTGTGTCACATCCTTGAGGTCGTCAATCATACAGGGGATCAAGCAGCAACCTAGATCACAACTGTAAAACAAAGACAAAAGTCATGAGGGATCTCAAGAGCTCACATTCAGAGCTCATTGTGTATATTCATTTATTCATAACTACATCAAAAATGCAATGCATGCATGGCCTGAATGCACCTCTTGTATGGTGCACGTTTTTAATTTCGGTTTTAAAATTCATTTACACTACTATTCAAATGTTTGGGGTTCGTAAGATTTTTAGAAAGAAAGAAATACTTTTATTGACAAAGACGCATTGAATTGATCAAAAGAGAGATTCGTAATGTCACAAAAGGTTTATATTTCAAATAAATGCGGTTCTTTTGTTTCCACAAAAATATTAAGCAGCGCGTTTTCAATATCGATAATAACGATAAGAAATGTTTCTTGAAAATCAAATCAGATCATATTAGAAGGATTTCTGAAGGATCATGTGACCCTGAAGACTGGAGTAATGATGCTGTAAATTCCGTTTTCAGGAATAAATTACTATTTTAATATATAACAAAAGAAAACCGTCATTTTCAATTGTAATAATGTCACTAATTACTGTTTTTATTGAACTTTTGATCAAGCAAGAGACTTCTTTCAAAAACATTAAAAATCCCCAAACTTTTGAACAGTGGTGTAGATATTTTGTATGAAGTTAAATGTAACTTCAACTTTAAAAGTTGTATGACGTTATGCATAAAGTTAAAAAAGTGAGCGTGACACAACTGTCCTGAAATTATAATGAAGAAACAAAGCCTCTTTATGTTAAGAAAAACCTTATTTAGCAGTTAAAGGAGTAGTTCACTTTTAAAAAAAACTTTTGCTGATAATTTACTCATGTCATCCAAGATGTCCATGTCTTTCTTTCTACAGTCGAAAAGAAATTAAGGTTTTTGATGAAAACAGTCCAGGATTTTAATAGACTTCAATGGGAACCAAACGGTTCAAGGTTCAAAAGACAGTTTCACTGCAAACTGTTCAAAGGACTTTAAACGATTCCAGATGATGAATAAGGGTCTTATCAAGCGAAACGATCGCTCATAAAAAAAAACGTTTTGATGAACGATTTCGAACAGGAGAGTCACGAACGCGCGTCAGAACAGAGCAAGGCGACCATTTGAGCTTATAAAACTTAAACTTTGTTATTTATTTTTTAAATGAGCGATCGTTTCGCTTGATTAGACCCTTATTCATCGTCTGGGATCGTTTAAAGCCCTTTGAACAGTTTGCAGTTTGCACTGAAATAGGCTTGCCGCGATAGACGGTGTTGACGGTGTTACCGGTTTTAAGCCCCATCACCGGTGACATCACTTTCCCACCGTGACACCGCGATGTCTTGACTTTTTTTTTTTTAAGTATTCGTTTTTGCTAAAATATTTATTTGAATTAATTAAAAATAATAATTTTCAATTATTTAGTTCTGAAGAGAGCATTATAATTAAAAATGAACTGCGCAACGCGTGCCGTCACGTCACAGATCAGCAAGCATCAGGATTCTTTAGCACGTGTGGAGACGAGAACGAGTCAAATTACAGAAAAGCAAGATAATGGCGGAAGATTTGGTGTCAAAACGCAATGCAAAAGCGCCTGTTTGGCAATATTTTGGCCAATATATAGGCCTATTAATGTTAATAAATGCCAATTTATAGTGTTTTACTTTTTTTTAGAGTGCTGTCATTTATGTAGGTCCTTTTTAAAGTTTTTATTTTATATTCGTCTCTTTTTATTTGGTTTTATCTTATTGAAACTTTGTTTAATTTATTTAGGCCTATTTTGTTTTCTTATTCGTTAATAAACGTTTTATTTTTTTGGGGGGCCCACAGTTTGCCGATTTTCACTTTATTTTTATTCGTTCGTTATGCTAATAAAAGTTCTGTCTATATTTTATTCGTTTACTATTCTAATAAAAGTGCTGTCTAAATAAAAGTTTATTGTCAGCGAGTTGTTTTTTTTTTTTTTTTTTTTTTTTTTGTCCATTCCAGCAATTGACGCTGAATTGCAATTGACGCTTATTTCGAAAGTGAAAGTATGTCATTTATGTAGGCTAAGGTCCGTTTTGAAGTTTTTATTTTATATTCGTCTCTTTTTAATTGGTTTTATCTCATTTAAACTTTGTGTAATTTATTTAGGCCTATTTTATTTTCTTATTCGTTAATAAACGTTTTATGGTTCTTATTTGTTTGGGCCCACATTTTGCCGATTTTCACTTTTTTCAGCCTATGCATGGGGTTATTTTTATTCGTTCGTTATGCTAATAAAAGTCTATAAATAAAAGTTTTATTATCAGCGAGTTGTTTTTTTTGTCCATTCAAGCAATTGACGCTTATTTCGAAAGTGAAAGTATAACGCGCACGCATTTAAAAGCTATTTAACCCCCCCCGCCCTGCCCTCCACGGTGACACCGGGATTACCGGTGTTGTCACACGTCGATTAACCGGTGGGAAATTTTCCTCACCGCGGCAACCCTACACTGAAATTGTCTTTTGGACCTTGAACCGTTTGGTTCCCATTGAAGTCCATTATATGGAGAAAAATCCTGGAATGTTTTCATCAAAAACCTTAATTTCTTTTCAACTGAAGAAAGAAAGACATGGACATCTTGGATGACGTGGGGGTGAGTAAATTATCAGCAAAGTTTTTTGAAAAGTGAACTACTCCTTTAAGCATATCCTTTTATTATTATTACTTATGAAATTCTATGTCCGCCAACTCAAAGACATGTAGGCCGTCCAACATGCAGAAAAAGAAAACAACCGAGAAATGATTTCACAGAGAGATTGTGCCATTTAGTTAGTCACTTACCCGACAAAGAAGCAGAACATGCAGATTAGAGTATTCATGAGGCCGATGTCGTGGCTGATGCGGGTGGTGATGGGTTGTTGGCAGTGTGGACAAACCGTCTGCACTGGAGTCGACTGAAACATCTCCCCCTGTAGAACAGTCACGGTGGTGGTGGCACCAGGAGGGGAGAGAACTGTGGCTGTGTGACCTGGACCAAAGTGACTGGGCCCCGGACCATAGTGCTCCGCTATTGGATGAGGAAAGTGTCCAGGGGGAGCGTAGTAACCACCTGCAGCACATCAATTTTGGGGTTAAAGTTAGTTCACACAAAAATTGAAATTCTCTCATCATTTACTCACCATCATCCCATCCCCGATTGTATATGACTGTTTCTTTCTTCAGATAAACACAAACAAACATTTGCAAGAAAATGATCCATCTTTGTGAGCCCATATAATGCCATTGAACGGCTGTTGCTCGTTTGACATGTAACATATCGATCGCGATTCGCGGGTGATCTTTTTTTTTTTTTAAATCATATTTTTCTTACACACCTAGCCTATCGTTTCACTTCTACTGATTCATCCATTGGGGTCGTATGGATTATTTTTCTACAAATTTTCATTTTTGTTTGCATGAGGTTGAGTAATGGATGAACTATCCCCTGAAGATAGTTCTACACACATAGATTGTATCTTGGCATGATTGCTTTATGTGATAAACAGATTTAACTAAGGCTTTTATTAACAAAAACATTAATCTACTCACACATCAATTACGGTAAACCAAAGCTCGAGCATGTTCGCTTGACGTGCAATAGCCAATGAGGTTCCTTCTCAAGTTACGCAGCATGTTTGAGCTTCAGTGGGAACCAATGAGGTTTATCCTCACCCATTAATCGGGCAATGTTTATAACAGAATTAAAACCTGAATTGAATTTGGTTATCGTATAGTTATCCAGTCTCTTAGGAATATTTGGACTAATCCGCTCGATTCATATGCATTCGTTTTATGATCTCTTTATTAACTTTTTAAAGCAACAAAGTGATATTTATGTAGCTGTCAACAGAAAAAGCTCTCAGATTTCATTAAAACATCTTCATTTGTGTTTCTAAGATAGATGAATGAAAGTCTTACAGGTTTAGAACGTATGAGTGAGTATTTGATAAAAAAAAAAAAACCTTATAATTAAAACTTTAACTATCTACAAGATTTTAGAAAGCCAGCAACACCTACAACAGTAACCTAAAACAGTGTCAATTCAGAGGCAGTTATTACATTTTGATGAAAGATTTTGGAAACATTTTAATTTACAGTGTTCTTGTTACAAGTTACATGCAGTATAGTTACTATAATAATAACTGTAAGTTACACATCATTACATGCAACTAACCCTGAACCAAAACCTAATCCTAACCCTATATACTATAGGTAGTTAGTTCATATTACACAGTACTTAAATGTATTATTACACTTTCACAATTTTCTGTGTAATCGTGGTCAAATCCCTTGTTGCTCGAAACATGTCGCATTACATCATTTTTGATTTAGCATTATTGCTAGTTCTTTTCTCTGAAACAGTGTTGTAGTCGAGACCACCTCACTCGAGTCCGAGTCGACACCGAGACCAGAGAGAATCGAGTCCGAGTCAAGACCGAGTCCATAGAGAGTCGAGTCCGAGACCAGAGACGGTCGAGTCCGAGTCGAGACCGAGACCAGTGAGGGTTGATTACCTAATTTACTTTTATTTATTTAGAGAAATTTTTTTTTTTTTTTTTTACTGAATTTACTTAGAGTTTAAAAAATATGATCAGTTTAGGGTAAAAAGGCCACATAGTAGGTGGTGTTAAAAGTAATTTAATTACAATTTGTCATGCGCAGTTGCGCACTAGAAAATCACCAATCACTGGGCGTGTCAATCAATTTAAAGAAATATTTTATCAACATACATTAATAATCATGAAAAATATTTTTAATTGAACTCGAGTGGACTCGGGAATAATTCCGAGTCCTAAAAAAAAAAATGTTCGAGTACGAGTCAATTCCGAGTCCAAATGGACACGAGTCCATGACAAGACCAAGACCATTAAAATATGGTCTCGAGTCCGAGACGAGTCCGAGTCTCGAGTACTACAACACTGCTCTGAAATACTAATGATCTGTGAATGGCTGCTGATGTATTAGTGTGTGAGTTTGGTTGGCACACCCACCGTGAGGATGAGGCATAGGCATGTGCATATGCATAGGCATAGCCATAGGCTTGGGACCTTCGCCTGGGACGTGTGGAGGAACAAAGCCAGGTGTGGCTTCATAAGGTGGAGGCCCGTATTCTGGGGGCAGCGGCTGTCCTTGTGGAGGTCCTGTCATTACTGGAGCAGAGGCTGCTGAGGGAAACAGCTTTATATCAATATTTATTTATTTTTTAATTACACAATTCATGTATTCCTTCTGCTAGTCTTGCTCCTTTCAAAATGAATTATAAACATACAGTGGTGTCCAAACATATGAGACCACTAGTGAAGTAACAGACTTTATGATTCCACTGTAAATCAAAGTACATTTTTATACACAGACTGCAGTGTGGTTTCAACGAGACATTTTACAGTTAAAATATTCATATGTAGTCTTTCCTGCTCACTGGTGTAGTTATTATTTCATCATTTAACATTGCTATATTGAAGGAGTAGTTCACTTTTCAAAAAACTTTTGCTGATAATTTACTCACCCCCATGTCATCCAAGATGTTCATGTCTTTCTTTCTTCAGTCGAAAAGAAATTAAGGTTTTTGATGAAAACATTCCAGGATTTTTCTCCATATAATGGACTTCAATGGGAACCAAACGGTTCAAGGTCCAAAAGACAGTTTCAGTGCAAACTGCAAACTGTTCAAAGGGCTTTAAACGATTCCAGACGACGAATAAGGGTCTTATCCAGCGAAATGATCGCTCATTTAAAAAATAAATAACAAAGTTTAAGTTTTATAAGCTCAAATGCTCGCCTTGCTCTGTTCTGTGATGCGCGTTTGTTACTCTCATGTTCGATTTCGTTCAGAGCAAGGCGAACATTTGAGCTTATAAAACTTAAACTTTGTTATTTATTTATTAAATGAGCGATCGTTTCGCTTGATAAGACCCTCATTCGTCGTCTGGAAAAAAAATCGTAAAAAAAAATAACAAAGTTTAAGTTTTATAAGCTCAAATGGTTGCCTTGCTCTGTTCTGTGACGCACGTTCGTGACTCTCCTGTTTGAAATCGTTCATCAAAACGTTTTGTTTTTTTTATGAGCGATCGTTTCGCTTGATCAGACTCTTATTCATCGTCTGGAATCATTTAAAGCCCTTTGAACAGTTTTAAGTTTGCACTGAAAGCGTCTTTTGGACCTTGAACCGTTTGGTTCCCACTGAAGTGCATTATATGGAGAAAAATTCTGGAATGTTTTCATCAATATCCTTAATTTCTTTTCGACTGAAGAAAGAAAGACATGGACATCTTGGATGACATGGGGGTGAGTAAATTATCAGCAAAAGTTTTTTTTTCAAAAGTGAACTACTCCTTTAAGTGAAACGAAGACATCTAGTTCCATGCAATTCTAGTGGCCCATTGAAAGGTTGTGAGGAAAGTGTTTACATTCAAGTCGCCATGGTTTCCTAGAACAACGTTTCAATGAGCAGCTAATGATGGTGACGAGCAAGTCATTGCACCTATTAAAAGCAGGTTTAAAAAGTACAAGTTCATTTCAAATGTCTAAAGAGAAGAGAAAAAATATCAAGATATTTACCAGAAACTGGAGGTTGTCCATTTTTTTCCTCAAGAAGTGGGGCATTGGGGCCGCCTGGGTAAGGAGGAGGGGGGTCACTGGACATGTTGGTTCCCTGGAAGGAGGCCAGATAAGGGAGCTTCTAGGGTGAACACAGACAGGCCACGTGGTTCAATAAGCACACAGTGTAATGTGATCGCGGCATCCCGCACTACTGTTGGTGAGGCATTTCACATCCAATTATTAATTTGCAGATGCTCACTGCCTCAACATTCCCACGAGCCCACAAATAAAACAACATAGATAAGCATGAAATATCCTGCCTTAGACTAATAAAGGGGTTTCCAATCCTTCTTCCTGAGGGCCACTGTCCTGAAGAGTTTAGCTCCCACCCCAATTAAACACAACTGATCCAGCTAATCCAGGTCTTTGGTATACTAGAAACTTCCAGGCAGGTGTGTTGAGGCAAGCTGGCGCTAAACTCTGCAGGATAGAGGCGCTCCAGGTGCGAGTTTGGACACCCCTTTTTTAGACTCTCCTTCCTTTCATTGTTTGTGAAGTGGTGCAAGTCAACATCCCACCATCCCATCCCATCGTATCTAGGGTTGGGTATCGAGTATCGATTGGAACCGAGACTAACTTTTTGTTTTTCCCGGAATCGTTCAAAAGTTAAAATTCCGATTCCTAGTTTCCGAGCGGAAGAAGAAACCGCTGAACAACACCAACGAAGAAGCGTCTACCGGAAGTGTTGGCATAACCACGCGAGTCGAACATGAGTACCTTACGTCGACGATCCAAAGTGTGGCTTCATTTTTCTAAAAATAACGAAATCTCGGCAAAATGCAAAATTTGTGACAAAAGGAGTATTTTTACAGAAGGAGTATTTCCTTCAGAAAGGCCGTTGGTTAGCAAGGTTAGCTAAACTTTTTTGACCCTGCCTCTTAAAAGAATCGGAATTGAGAATCGTTAGGAACCGGAATCGAAACAAGGAATCGGAATCAGAATCAGAATCGTTCAAATTCAAACGATACCCAACCCTAATCGTATCTAAATTAAGAATTCTGCTTTTTAAAACAGAAATTGTGGGAGGATGATTAGTCTCAAAAGATAATTTCTGATTCGAAGCTTGTGACGATCAACCCGATCACTTTGTAAACACAATATAGTTTGGATTCATCGGTCATCAATGCTACCATTCAAATGTTTAGGGGTCTGTATGATTTTTAAACTAAAGAATTTAATACTTTTATTCAAGCAAGAATGTATTAAATTAATCGATTATGACAGTAAAGACATTTAGAATATAACAAAAGATTTACATTTCAAATACATGCTGTTCTTTTGGACTATTCATCATGATATCACAGGAATAAATTACATTTTAAAATATATTCAAATAGGAAACAGTTATTTTAAATGGGAATGTTATTTCACTATATTACTGTTTTAGTATATTTTTAATCAAATAAATGCAGCTTTGGTGACCATAAGAGATTTTTTTTCTTACCCCAAACGTTTGGATGGTAGTGTATACTGTATAATCCTCATAATATATATAATATATATATATATTGTATAATCCTCATAATATATATGTACTTAAGCCAATCTCTTGGCTTCAGTACAGTTTTGGCCTTTAAGAAGTTAAAGTAACAACAATACAGTAGAAACACAGTGGCACAGTATTCTAAGAACCTCAGATATGTGGGTCAAGACTAACCAGATGTCAAACATTGTGTCCTTTGTGTGAAATATGTGTCCTTTCATAAAAAAATGAACTTGTTAAAGTTTAAGGGAAATAAATGCAAATGAAAAACAAGATCGTGGGAAGAAACAGCACCTCATTTGAAAACCAAATCGAAGTAGCTAAGACTAAACCTGTTATCTTCGATCCTTATTCCTTAGTTATAATGTTAATAGTGGCATTTCTGCATATGTGACATTATTATGGTTTGCAACAAAAACTTATAATCAGATATTACCATAACATAATTAACCATTAAAATGGCATAGGTGAGTTCTCTTCATGACTCAGCTGGTAAACAGGTGCTATGACTACACATGATCTCATTTGCACTTTCTTGGAATGATTACCAACAGCCAATAGGGATGAAGCAGGAAATGCACGAGTAAAGCATGTGACTACTACTATATGTGGAGCGTATAAATATCGTCCATTAGCTTATGTGGTCAGAGTAACTCGTTGCCCAGCCAGTTCACATCCTGTATTACTTAGGATAATGGAAATGAATTACACAGAAAGCTTGTCTGTATAACCGCAAATTATGGCAGTATTTCAGATGCGTTGCCATCGTGTCATTGGAACATTCAAAAAAGATTTGATACAAAAGTATAGATATAACACCCTGTTGATTAAAACCATTATAACGTTGAGTGTTTAATCCACACTGAACATACACTTTCATTTCATAATGCCACCTTCGTCCTAACAAGCCTAAATTATGAGAGGGACTTTTGGTTTGGGGAAGTTCCACTCAAAGAATCGAAAAAAAAAATCATTTCAAATCAAAAGGTTGAGCTACAAATAATAAGAGACCGAATGAGCTGTGATTTTCTTCATGTTAATAATGTAACATAACTCTATGACTTGAGTTGTTTTCAGTCATTACATTCTTTTCCTTCTGATTATTTTCTTTGTTTCCCTCCTTTTTATTCAGCTGTAGTTAAAAAAAAAAAGACAACATATACTACGCGTTTGTGCCCAATGAATAATTCACTGCAGAACTGTACTAAAAATATCTTGTTTTTCTCCCCAAATCCTCACGTCTCTTTCCAGGTTTGTTTTCACACAGATATTTAAAATGTAATTGTCTCCCCTTTTCACTTCTAATCCATAATAGCAGTGTTTACTGGAATGTTTCTAAAAGGGGTAAATACAATATTACTTGTCTGCCAAAATGACGGAAATCACTTGGAAATATCATCACTCAATGTTCCAGTTAAATAACATTTTTTATCAAAGCAACACTCCAGAAATAATCAGGTTTTTGGGGAATTCCTGGTCTGTTGAAGTCATTTGTTAATGCTTTTATACTTTTAAATTTCCTTATAAAGGAAAATTCCCTCTGATTGATCAATGGTTAAAGGAATAATGCCTTAGGCCTATTGTTTTTGAAAATGCTTTTGCTGATTGTTTACAATTTAACACATGCTTACTGAGTTATATTCCCAAAATTCATATACAGGAAAAAGGTGGATAGCCCAGTGTTGGTCCTGATCTACAGCAGATAAGCAGCAACTCAACAAAATTATGTTCTTCTAAGCAGAGATGGGCAGTATTTCAGATACATGTATTTAAAATACGTATTTGAAATACAAAATACTATTTTGTATTTTGTATTTTAGAGCCTTTGGAAAAAAATCAAATGTAATTTGTATTTAAATACATTTAAGATGAGTATTTTTGTATTTTCAAAATACTCAAAATACTTTGAGCCAGTCAACCTCTTTATCATTGCACTTCCTAGAAGATCAGAGGAAGGATTTGGACATCTTGAACCAGTATCCACTTATTAGACAGCTGCGCATGCGTCGTGGAAATCTAAGGAAGTCTTGTTTCAGGCCAACAAGGAAGAAAAGGAATAGTCGAATAAACTCATTATTTTTGTTTGTTTTTTCGCACAAAAAGTAGTCTCGTCGCTTGATAAACTTATAGTTGAGCCACGGTAGTCACATGGAATATTTAAACATTTTCTTCATTGACTTTCTGGGCCGTCAAGAGCCAGTCCCTTAGGCAGCCCATGTGGTAGTTATACAGCTCTCAAATTTAATCAAAAATATCTTTATTTGTGTTCCGAAGATGAACGAAGGTCTTACGGGGTTGTTACAGCATGGGGGTGAGTAATTAATGACTTAATTTTCATTTTTGGGTGAACTAACCCTTTAAACCCAAACTTTTTGAAAAGCTGGTGGTGCTAAAGGGTATCGAATAGATGGATGTCTGAAACACATACTGTAGGTACACCACCTGGAGGAGATATTTAAAATGTAACTGACTTCGTGTTATTGAGATTTATATGAAAAATAAAAAAGTAATTGAAACTTTTTATCTCACAATTCTTTAAGAGTTTACATCTCGTAATTCCGACTTTATTTCTCAGAATTGCGAGATATAAAGTTAGAATTGTGTGATATAGGCTAAAGTCGCAATTGCGTCATATAAAGTCACAATTGCGTGTTATAAAGTCAGAATTTATTGATAAGTCACGCAATTGCATGTTATAAAGTCAGAAATGTCTGATATAAAGTCGAAATTGCGTGTTGTAAAGTCAGAATTGTGAGATAAAAACTATTCTGAGGGGAAAAAAGTTAGGCTAGTCTTATTTCCCCCTTAGAACTAAATCAGAATTTCGAGATATAAACTCGCAATTATGTGTTATAAAGTCAGAATTGCGAGATGTAAACGTGCAAAGTCAGAATTGTGAGATAAAATTTCTCAATTCTGTATTTTTTTGCACAGTTGCAACATTATTTCTCAGAATTGCTACTTTATATCTCGTAATTGCGACTTTACGCCTATTTCTCAGAATTACGACTTTACATCTCACAATTGCGACTTTCTATCTCGCAATTGCGCCTTTATTTCTCACAAATCTATCTTCATATCTCACAATTGCGAGATAAAAAGTCGCAATAGTTTTTTTATATATATATATATATATATATATATTAGCATTAAGTGAACTTTCCATTTAGTAATTTTGCAAACAATTATGGGAATGTTACTTTTGAATGTTCTCTGAATATTCTGAAACCAGTGGTAACGTTCAAAAAAACGTTGAACAAACTAGAACGCTTCAAAAAAAAATAATGTAGAGATCATGAACGACACAAGCTAAATAACTTTTTTTGTGAACATTATTAAAGACTAGATAACTTTTAACAAACCTTTTAGTAACGTTAGAAGGAAGAAAGTTGCCATAATTTTAGCCAAAGCTTTGAGCTGGGAAACCATTTGTTTTTTTGTAAAAGCGGGATAATTCAATAATTATTAGGCTACAACTTGTAGGCTATGAGTTTAAAACACACGCTTGGCATAGCTTCATATATCAAGGCGATACACTACAGGCAAAAACACTTTTTTCATGCATCCGTCAATTTTGAGGTTTTGTGTTTTTTGGCTTTTCATATAGTGTTATTTCAGACTAGTGGTGTAACGGTCACCAGGTGGAGTGCCCTTGAGAGTCACCAGAGGGCACTCCACACCAGATGTTCATGATTCACTCACAACTACATTTCCCAGAACTCACTGCCCGGACTCATCAGCACTGATCATATTCACCTGTACCTCATTCACTGATTGCATTCACCTGTGTCTCATCCTGTTAGTCTGTCTATATATACCTTTGTGTTCACATTCACTGTTTGCGAAGTCTTGTTGTACTGTGTGTCTGCATTTTGAGCGGTTTCTTGTGTTTGTCTTCGGTTTTTGACTTTGGATTGTTCTTGGTTTTTGGTTTTTGATTATTGCTGCCTGCCCTGACCTCTGCCTGTTTTTTGGATTCCCACTGTGTGTTCTCCATTGCCCTGTCTGCTGATTCTCGACCACTGCCTGTATGACTATTCTTAATAAAGCTGCATTTGGATCTACATCTCCAAGTCTCGGAGCAGTTCATAACAAGTGGTAAGAAAATATCCAAAATACATTTTAAAGTTTACTTTCATAGCACTTTTTTTATTTGCATCTGTAGATTTCAGTTACAGGTCAAAGGCTTTTTTTTTTCTAAAAATGAGTCAGAAATCTCCACTTCAGAAGCACTTACATACACTAATCTTTACAGTTTTATCCATATATATATATATATTCTGAAGTTTTTTACAGAGGGGTTTGTTCATATATAATTTGCCTGGTTTTATACTGGTTTTAACATTTTATTTTTTAAAGTAGTTCAGTTTTTTAAAAAGAAAAAACTTTTGCTGATAATTTACTCACCCCCATGTCATCCAAGATGTCCGTGTCATTCTTTCTTCAGTCGAAAAGAAATTAAGGTTTTTGATGAAAGCATTCCAGCATTTTCTCCATATAATGGATTTCAATGGGAACCAAACGGTTCAAGGTCCAAATGAGAGTTTCAGTGCAACTTCAAAGGGCTTTAACACCAGATGATGAATAAGGGTCTTATCAAGCGAAGCGATTGGTCATTTTAAAAATAAATAAAAAAGTTTAAGCTTTATAAGCACAAATGCTCGCCTTGCTCTGTTCTGTGATGAGGGTTCGTGACTCTCCTGTTCAAATCTTTTTTCGAGTTTTTTCGAGAAAAGTTTTTTCGCCTTTTCTCAAATCTTTTGACCCGAAGGGTCCTAGATAAGACCCTTATTCATCGTCTGGTGTCGTTTCAAGCCCTTTGAAGCTGCACTGAAACTGTCATTTTGACCTTGAACCATTTGGTTCCCCATGAAGTCCATTATATGGAGAAAAATCCTTGAATGTTTTCATCAAAAACCTTAATTTCTTTTCGACTTAACTTCAGTCGAAAAGAAATTAAGGTTTTTGATGGAAGAAAGAATGACATGGACATCTTGGATGACATGGAGGTGAGTAAATTATCAGCAAAAGTTTTTTTTTTTTTTTTTTTTTAAGTAAACAACTCCTTTAAAAGAAATAGTGAAAATGTTTGTTTTTTTTCAGCTATTTCTTTTCCTTTTTTCTGGTATGTTTCTGGTACTGTCAAAATATTCTGATAATGTTCTGAAGAACGTGGGGGCTTAAGCATTATTATATTAAGCATTAAAGCTTAAGCATTATACATATATTATACATTTTACCAATTATAATATTAAGACTATTAGCGACCGCTTTTAACTTTTAACCGTGCTGGTGAGCGAGCAGCACATGAGTTGGTGTGTGTTTGTTCTGGTGTTTTCTGGAATAGAGAGCGATTATCCATCGCCGCAGGCACTGATTACATAACACTGACCTAACCTTCATGTCTTCACTATTACTCAACTTTCACTGCGATTCACCCTAACATTGAACGATATAGTTGCAAATAGCTACTTGTGTCGTTAGTTACTGGCCTCATCATCAATGTGAAAAAAAACGGGAGTTACTTTTTCTGGTCTTAAAATAAGTCCCGGTCTCTACACTGACAAATATAGCACACAAGTAGAGTGACTCGCACTATTGCATACAAGCAATACTCATTCATCGCATCATATCAGCTAGCACATATCTCTCAGCCATTTAACTTAGTCATATAGTAACATAAAAGCAGCACGACACATGTAAAGCCATCTGTTAGAGATTCAAGCGAAACCTAACAACTTTCAGAGGGCGATAAACATCTTTAGCAATTAAAATCCATGGGCGATTGATAGGCTATTCGTGAATGATGCGAGCACAGGCCTGCGGTTGCAGATCATAGCGCTGCCAGCGCACAAAAACACAAAGCAATATTCATTCAAGCGACGTGCTGTTACCTTCTGTATCCACGGCGTCAATCAAAATATCAGCTTTGGGAACTTTCGGATTTCTAGCTTAAACCTTTATGCTTTGTGGCTCCAGTTTTCCAATAACATCCGCTGCTGGGAAGGATTTGACGTAAACATGGGAGGTGGGAGGTGTAAAAAGTGTCTGTGAGAATCCAACTGGCGATTTATTTTACTATGGCGAAGGAGTGGATTATGAATATTAAGTAGGCCACGTGGGTGGACGCTCTCGCAAGGTTACTAAGCAACGTCAGCATTACGTAATTATTATTCATGCTTTAATCCTTCGCCGTAGTAGGTACGTTTTATTGAAATAATTTGCTTGGATTGCTTGATTCTGATTGATCAGGTGATCAAATATTTCTGAACTTAGATTTATGGCAACTCTGCTCATCAAGCAAACCTGTTTAAAAAAAAAGAGTTTAACATAGGATTTTTTTTAGTTGTTTTTTTTTTTATAACCACAAACTAATCGTTATTTTTAGGTTTTAATTTTTATAACCAAAAACAAACTTTCCTGGACTTTCTCGGAACCAATATATATATATATTTTTTTTCATAAATAAAAACGACAAGAAAAATTATCTTTGGTACCTAAAAGGTTAAAATAATTTCTGAAGTCTGGAAACTTAAAATGAGAATATCAAATGGCTCCGAAAGAAATTTCAGATACACTGTAAAACTGTAATTAAAAAATTACTGTATATGATCAATAAATTATGACTACATATGTGTTTACATTTACCTTTAACTATTCAAAATAAGTTAAGCAATTTTTTATGAGTTTATAAGTTTGTATGTCAATTTAATTGAATTTAAGTTGTAACATCAACGTTGATAGCAACTTATATTACACCACAGACCTAATATAACACAATTAGAACAAGGTCTCCATCTCTACGCTATCTATAAAGACGCTGCTCTGCTGTTCAGAAGCAGATAAAACCTAACTAGAGTGATAAAATTGTATGATTATGATTATGTCCTAAAACAAAATTATGCTTTTCAATAAAAAAAAATATAACTGGTTGTATCATGTGGATTTACAATGGATTCTATGGTGTCACCATGAAAAACAGTAACACCGCAGACAGATTAACACAAATCTAGACTTTTCTAAAATGGAGTCTGCTTTCATGATGGTTTCAACATAGGGGACATTTTAGAAATATTAATAAGACTGTATCAAAATTTAGAGTATGTAAAATATGCATAACACCACAGACTCTAAAAAGTCTGACACATTAAATTGTCCGAAATGATCAACCACCACCTGAAATGACCTTTACAAACAGGAAGTAGACCCTCCTCAAAAGGCATAGAAGTAGCAGCATTGCTAACAAACGCACCCATGCGCAGAGCTGCAGCTCCGCCATCTTGGATCTGTCATAGAACTGAACGATACCAGTTCCAATTCAAAAGTTGTTAAGGGAACTAAATAGTAGTTTCTAGTTTTTAATATCAATAGCCTAAACTAAAACGCTGTGTTGAATAATGTACAGCAAAATAATCCTTGTGGATCGGTTTATAATTAAACGGTTTTGTCATAGAGCATGAAGCTGTCAAATAGGCTATTTATTTACCCCAATAACTTTCGGGGATAACTCCCGTTTTCATACGCAGCCCAGTTTTACAACGCCAGTAACAACAGCCCAAGGTCCCTTATGAAATGATGGACAAATTCCTTGAAAAAGCCAAAACACACTGAACAGTGAGTAGGTGACAGTAATAAAATTGGTGATGGTGAGTAAATCACCACATCATTTCTGCCTGCATTTCACAACATTGTGCACAAATTTACTACAAACAGAATGACAACAGTAAGTATATTAGCTGTTCTATGTTTTAGTCTTTAGTTTTATTATAATTTAATTAATCAGTGGACAGAATTCTCTGTTTAAACCCAGGAGACTTAATGGCCTTCTGTAGTGTGCGGACAGATGGCATCGAAAAGACTCTGCAGAGCAGCCGATAACACTTAGGACTGGCATGTAGGAGAGACAAGAAAAAAGCTTTGTCTTGAGCGGTCCAACGGAAACCATTAGCCTTGCGCTGGCACATCCGTAACTGGGTGCTGAAAAAAGCATAAGACTTGGCTGGTAACAGTCTCTTCAGTTCATGTTTCACATCCAACTTGCTGGTCTTCTGGCGAGTGAGGTTCCTTACTTTTGCCTTCAGCTTGCATATCTGTGACTTCAGAGACCTGATTTGCTTATAAAGTTTTTTAGTAAGGTCTGTCAGGTCTGGTTGCAGTGGTGGTGGTGGTGGTAATAAAGGTCCTGCAACAGCCTTATTATCTGTTGATGGTGGCGGCGACGAAGAACCTGCGACGGCATCCTCATCAGGCAAGCTATGTTTCTCAAAAAATGGACCAGTGGCGTGACTCTGTTGCCCTGTAAAAAAAAAAAAAATAAATACAACATTGAAAATTTAGATCATAAGTGAATAATTTTACAGAAAAAAAAAAAACTTCAAATCATTCAACAGCAGAACAAGATGTTGATACGATTGACAGACTGAGAATAATTCAACCGGTAACATAACAGACTCTTACGTTTCTTTGGTGGCAACTCTTGGCGTGTCTTTGGTGGTTTTCTCTTGTGCTCGATGTCCAGTGGTGGCGGCGGTGGGATAGGGGCATTAACCATAGTGGGCACTGCATTCCAGTTCAATCCTGCATGGCTGTTTTTTTATAATAAAATATTTCATGTTAATAAAATACATTTCAATATCAGGATTTAATGATTATGCTATTACTATATATTCTCAATTATACATACACATCTGATGGCCTTTTAAACTGGCTGGGGTGGAAATGTGCACTGCACACCCTGTAGTTCTGATTGAGGCGCTGGAAGCTTATCCCTGTCAAGCTAGCATTCCTCAGGTTCTGCACCCATCTGGCAGATCTTCAAAATGTGGTACATAATTTCATTTATTTCACTCTCCGGAGGTGCAGATAACTAACTGTCGGTAACGTTAACTTTACTGAAGAAGCTGAAAAAACATCAACGGCATCATAAATCGGATTATCATATTGCCTTCAAGAGAGCAGATAGACTAAAATGTTTGCTAGTGGCTAACATTACTTCAGTAACGTTAATTTAGTGATAATAATGAATTAATAAATCGGTCATTTGCCAGGTTAGGTGTTCTAAGCCCATATAGAGTCTTACCTTAATTTTGACCAAATAAATAAAGTTAGCTGACTGTTATTGCGGTTATGGGATAGCTTACATTACAGCATATCGTTGACGTTAGCTCACCTTAACGTTACCTTACCTCTCTGGATCTTTGGGGAATCTATGAAATGCTAGTTCATTGCTTGTACACTGGTAGTTGTTGCAGTTGATGGCAGAACACTGTGTTCTTTGTTTCCAATTATTTCCAGACATAATGTTACTGTAATGCTGTACAGTTGTGCTAACGGTAAAGCCGTTAATGGCAACAGCACGATCTAGTGATTGTTGTCAAAACTGCGAGGCGAGCCCTCCAAACAATTCTGCTTCTTCTTTGTTTTAAACGGCGGTTGGGAACCAGCTTTTGCTGCATTACCGCCACCTTCATCTCCGGAGTGTTACAATCTAGTTTCCACATAAAAATAAATAAAAGAAAATAATACTCTTAAAGCATACACACATTAGTTCATTCACCCAAAACACTTTCTCCTTTTTCACTTTTTATCCTCACAACCTATTAAACAAACCAGTTTCCCTTAAGAAACTGTCACCTATTCAACAATCCTTATATTATAATTATGTGCTCCACTGACTCCTCTTCCTCACCACTCACACATGCCTGTCTCGTTTTCTTATTATTTTCAGTGATTTTTTTTTTAGAGCCCCAGCCTTAACCTTGTCATTACAATTTTCTCTCCCCTGTGCCCACCAAGAGTTATTTTACACTCTTTTGAATTTGATATAAATGCCTTCCTTTCTCCTCTCTGTGCCACCTTTCTTGCCACATTTGGTTAGTTCTTTCCCAGATGATATGACCTCTGCTTTACTTCTTTTAATTTGCATTTCTATTCAGTTGTCTTGCATTGCTCCGAGTGTCACAATTGGTCATTTGGAGTATGTAGGGGCATCGGGATTCTCACTTCCCTATTGAAACTTGCTTTGTTGACTGACGGCAACAGTCTTTCATAATGGTATTTCCAATCAAACCCCCAAAACTTTGTGGATCTCCATTCTACTGTAACCCATAGTGACTTATTATTTATGTGTGTGTGCAGTATTGTGTTCCTGAGTCCTCAGTCAAGCCGAGGACAGTGTGTGTACAATTTAAGATTTAAACACAATTATGGTTGTTGAATATCAGGTGTTGGTTGAATGATTCATTTTGTGAATGATTAATTTAGCCATTTCAATTATTTAGCCTGCAATTTGATTATCAATGACTCCTTTTCCAGCCCAAAGCTGTTTTCATTTTCATATGTACCTATTATACATTATGCAAGACAGAGCAAAGTATTCTCAATAAAATCACAGATGACATCAAAATGACACTTGGCCGCTCAATAACAAGATGAAAACCACAAATAAATCAGAAGCAGAACTTATAATTTGGTGCATCAACAAAACCCTAAACTGATCCAAAAACCTGATCAACCTGGATCTTGTAAGAAGTGTTGTGAAGTTTCTTCTGTTCTTTCCTGTAATGACCACAAATGTGACCCTGGACCACAAAACCAGTCACATGGGTCAATTTGTTTTTTAAATTGAGATTTACACATAATCTGAAAGCTGAATAAATAAGCTTTCCAATGATGGGACAATATTTGGCAGAGATACAACTTGAAAACCTGGAATCTGAGGGTGCGAAAAAATCTAAACATAGAGCAAATCGCCTTTAAAGTTCTACATTTATGTTCATGATTGTAATGCATTCTCTCACAAAAATAAATGTTTCATATATTTACAGTTGGAAAATTAAAAAATATATTCATGGAACATGATCTTTACCCAATATCCTAATGATTTTTGGCATAAAAGATAAATTGATTATTTTGACCCATGTAGTGTATTGTTTGACCCAGGGTCACAAATTGGTGTTTGCCATAAAACAGAACCTTTTTTAGGCCAAGGACCCCTTTGAAAATGTTTTTAGAGAAACTTTACATACATTTTTGTGTTACATTTCTTTGAAAGCCTCAAATTATGAACCAAAGAAGGAATTAATGTGCCAAACAACATCAGTCTCATCTGAATGATCGTTTTTATCAAGCTTGTATATTTAAGTTCAGTAATTTCACTTAAATGGCAATTCAGGTAATCTTCATTTTCATTTAAGTGAAATTACTGAACTTAAATATATAAGCATGATAAAAATGATGATTTTAGAAGAAAATTTCAAATGGCACTTAGAGGCTTTTGCATCTGAACTCTTCAGATGCTTTAGTTATCTATAGGGGAAACCATTATTCAAGTTATTTTCAAGTATTGAAGTTCATTTAGTTTAATTTCTGCTTCTGTCTTGCGGTCATCCTTTAACTTGTTCTCAGAATAATTTTTGGGTGGGGTTTTATGAGTAGACTATTTGTGCTTGAGGTCTTCAGTCACAGATTTACTGTCAGAGTTACAGTGATACAGTTTGTTCTTATTTACAGTATTTTCTGATCAATTGTTTTTCAAAATGCTTCAACATTTCTTTGGACTTTTTTATCTCTTGGCAGTTTCACAGCTTTTGAGTTTCACAGGTTTGTATGTTGACCTAATTCTGTATTTTATTATTCATGCATCTGGAATGAGACTATATATGCTGTGAATGATCATGATTTTGTCTTGGTCTTAAGACCAGAATAGGGAGTGTTAAATTAATTTCTGTTCAGTTAACACATGTTTGAGTTTGGACTCGCTCTGCCAAAATTTAACTTTCTACTGTGTTTGTGAAGCTTTTTTGCTGCATATGACAATAGATGGGCTTTCACAGAAACCCATTACATTTTTCACTACCTATTAAGACGTCATGGTCCCAACTCTATAAAATACAAAACTCTAGAGGACTGTGGACCAGTGATCAGTTTACAGGTCTTAATGACTCTAAGAAAGTTATTTCTGCGTCTGCTTGTAATCTAACACTTCAGTGCTGCTATTCTGTGCTGAATCTTCATCAGTTTCAAATCACATCCTTCTCAATGTGTTTAACAGGTTCATATGCTGATGAATGTCCAGTTGAGCTCAACCCAGAGAGAGTTATTGTGGAGTTCGGCGGTTCTGTCTCAGCCGACTGCAGCACTTCTGTCCCGCATACAGGGATGGGATGGGAAGCCAGTGAGGGAGGAGTGCACATGAGCAGAGACAGTCTGATCACATGGAGAGTGTCAAACCTGACAGAATGGGACATAGAGCCAATCTGCTTCATAAACTATAAGAAACAGTGTCAAATAACTCTCCCAGTGACAATTTACAGTGAGTTTCTCTGTTATTGATACTTTTATATTCTCAGAAATATCTACTGTACATTGATGACTGCAGATATCAGAGAGTGTAAATCTTCCTCCACAGAGACTCCAGACAGTGTGTCCATCAGCACTGTGAATCACACCGGACCAATGATGGAGGGAAACCAGTATGAGCTCCAGTGTGACGTTCTCAATGTGGCTCCTGTTCAGAATCTCATTATCAACTGGTACAAAGGACAGACTCTGGTGGATCAAACCAACTTCACTGACACCATCAAGACTCCAGTCAGTAAAACATCTAAACTCCTGATCCGTCCAGACGGAGCTGATGATGGAGATCAGTACTGGTGTGAAGCAAAGCTGGAACTGGGAGAAGAAGGACCTCAACCTCCTCCTGAAGTCACATCAGATCCTCTCAACATTACTGTATATTGTAAGTAAGATCTGTCAGTTTTCTATTATTAATCTTTTGAGAACATCTGTTGTCCAAATCAAGCATATTTTAGCACTTACTATGCAACAAGTTGTGTGGGGATAGGGATCAGATACAATGTAACTTTTTCTTGTCAATTTTCAAAATTTGATCAATTTCGCTGAAAACTACTAAATTAAAATGTAGATTAACATAAGAAATGTATGATACCATGTATGCAATGCAAAACCATTTTTGCATCAAAAACTGTTTTTCTTTCACTCCTTCCTGCAGTTAAACCGATCATCAATAAGACCAAACTGCCCTCCATAGTGCCTGTGTTTCGAGGATATCCAGTGGAGATTGTTTGTGAAGCCGAGGGAAACCCAACACCAGATATCAGATGGAATCTCGGGACAACTGATATAGTTTATAGTGAAACTCTTACTATAACAGAATCGACACCTGAGGATCTGCACTGCATTGCGAGCAACTCAGTTGGCACCACCATCAGACGTGTAAAAGTGTCCATACAAGGTAACTGTTCATTTTTGTAACATTTTCCATTGTAAGTGACTCAGTTTGAAGGTGCTGTGCAGGATTTTCCAAATTGAATGAAACAATAAGTATTACATTACTGATGGTCCACTTGAAGAAAATGAAAGAAAGTATGATGGTATTGTCCATTAGATATTAACAATAGCTCTTAGAACAAGCTTTTAATTATGTGATATATTACTGTTCAGTCATTTAACCACAAAATGAATGTTGTGCTAAAGATTTTAAGTTTTATATTACTTAATACTTACCTGAACCTATTTTGCTTTTTCCTTTCTAGGCATATCTCTAAACTACATTCTCAGTTTTGCAGCGGCCGGTGCACTGCTTCTTATAATCGTCACATTACTTATCTATGTGTGGAAAAAGAAACAATCTACTGGAAGTAATCGCAGTCAGTAAAGCAGTATGACATATGTCTCTTCAGCAATGGATGAAAATTCTAAGATTGAACAAAGATGATGTATTGAACATCATTCAGATCACTACCCACTATGTTGTGAGATTATCAAAGTTGCCTACGTGACAAGAAAAAGATCTCTTTGTGGTAAATAACTTAATACTGTTGTTAGACATGTTTGTGCATTAATGCAGATCCTGAAAAACATCACCCCAGATTCACACTTTAAAAATTGTGTGAGGCGATGGACAATCTCCAAAGCCAGAAATTTACTTTCTATGTTAGACAAATTTGACAACACTTTTAATTTACTCTATGTACTTCTTCTTTAAACCAATTCTTGTGTGTGTGACTTAAGCCAGTAATAATAACATGACAGTAATAATTTTCTTTCTTTCTTTTTTTCTTTCTCAATCCTTTTAATACGACTCCAAAAAAACATATAAACTTCAAGTCAGGCCTGTCTATAACTGACAGAATGCTTTCAGGACGTATGTTTTCAAGAATATTGTTAATGATTGTTGATGTGTGGTGTTAATAATTTAATAAAGCTCATGTCCTTCCCCTCCATTTTTGAAGTTCTCTCACTCTAGTTCTCTCGTTTTAATTATGAAACACTACAGTAAATAATTAATTGTATTGAAGGGGAATTAATTGTATTTCGAAAGGGAACTCGCACTTCGTCGAATGACCCTGAAGGGAACGCCTTCAGGTGTCTAAAATCACAATCAAATTACGTCAATTTTTCTAGTAAGGCTGTGGCTCCTGCAAGCTCTCAGGTAGTCGAGGTAGATCTTTGCTTACAGGCCTCTGGCTGGTCTAGGCTGTGCAAGGGATAGTGGAGGCGCTCTGCTTAAGCATTTCTTCTTCTGAACCTTTACTTTGTGAATGTAGGTTTCAAGAAAGCATCCCTGTATGAAAACCTCCTCCCATGGGAGTCATTAGGCCAAGGCCTGCCCCCTTCTCTGCATTCTGAGGTGATAAGAGTAATGCAGCATGGTGCAGAGGCATGGTTTATAAAGATCCTGGGTTACACTCTAAAAAATGCTGGGTTGTTTTAACCCAATTTTGGGTCAAATATGGACAAACCCGAAATGTTGGGTTAAAAATGTAATGTAAAAATGTAACCCAAAGGCTGGGTTAGTCCATATTTGACCCAAAGTTGGGTTAAAACAACCCAGCATTTTTTAGAGTGTATGCCTCATATAGGCCTCCACTGTACAATGAGTATTTATTGAGCAAGGTTTGTCTGCCCGACCCTGCTATGCAGAACTAGCATATGGATGAACTAGCATGCGCCAGTTTAGGCTTCACTTACCTCGCTATACAGGAAATACAGGAAATCGCAATGGAAGATGATTTCGATATTTAGATCTTCACAGTGAAAGGTAACTTCCAAAATCTCTGTGTCTCTAAGACGAGAGTTCAAGAGATTTCCACGACGCGTGCGCGAGAATTGTGATCTTCTTCAACTTAAGTTCAGTTCTCGTGCGTGCGTTGTGGAAATCTCTTGAACTCTCGTCTCAGGCCCGGAAGTAAGAAAAGGAATAGTCGAATAAAGTCGTTATTTTTGTTTGTTTTTTCACAGAAAAAGTATTCTCGTTGCTTGATAAACTTTCAGTTGAGTCACATGGAATATTTAAAAATTTTCTTCATTGACTTTCTGGGCCGTCAAGTTTCAATCCCTTAGGCAGTCTATGTAGCAGTGATCCAGCTCTCAGATTTAATCAAAAATATCTTCATTTGTGTTCCGAAGATGAACGAAGATCTTACGGGGTTGGTACAGCATGGGGGTGAGTAATTAATGACTTAATTTTCATTTTTGGGTGAACTAAACCTTTAAACTTCCGTCACGCGCAAGAGTCATATATCCCGCCGGTAAAATAGGACCCGCCCACAACTTGATACTTGCGTTTCAGATCGTTAAAATAAGGCCCTAATAGTTGATGTCAGTCAGTCAGTCAGGGGTTTCTGGGTTTTGTCTGTTTTATCCTGTGATTACCACAGGTGGGCGCTGTGTGCAATAAAACAGAACCGTTTTTCAGGCCAAGAACTCTTTGGAAACTGTTTTTTCAGAGAAACTTAATATTTGTTTTTTTTTTTTATGTTGTTTTTGTATGATGATAATACTCATTGCAAGGATTCAGGTTATTTCTAGATTTCATTTTGTTTTTGAGTATGTTTTGCAGTCGTGCATTACAGTTTTTCTCGATTGTTTACACACATTTTCTGGCACTTGAGACACGATGGCCACAACATGTAACACATTCACTAACCCCCTGAGCCAATTCTACTGAACTACAAGCACAATTCCTGCTTTACACTCAAATTGCAGCTCTAAAACACACTTTTTTCAAAACACTACACACAATTCTCTGCATTTGGCACAGTAATTCTCTTGTTTTCATGAGGAACACACTGCCATTCAAATATTCACACTGACTCGTCACAATGGGCAAACACATTTCACACAGTTTTACAATTAGCAATCAGAGCTTTGGCATAAAACACTAAAACCAAAGAGAGGATGCAACATAGATATTTTTAGATTTATTAGATTAGATTTATTTTTTTTACTGTAACAGCATAAGAAATTCTGTTGTTTTGTATGTAGACCACTGTATGTGCAACTTTGTGTTGGTTGGGGTGTACAAAATGTGGGATCTATCTCCCATTGATTTTGTGGGAAAAATAAAATATATTTGTTACCGTGTATTTGTGTGTTCTGGGTCTAAAAAACAATATTCTCAAATATTTTACAACACACTTATGTATGCAATGTCTGTAGTGTAACACTGAACAAAAAAGGCCCAAATCATTATGATGAATGGAGAAGAAGTGTTTTCCATTGATCATAGTGTTTTCCATTGAACACATCAGTGTTCAACTGGTTCTTATAAATGTCTATTCATATGATGGTTTGTGTGTGTCATTTGAAAACAAAATACCATTTTGAGAAGAAATAACATTGTTTTGAATGTAAAGTTTCATTTTGCAGGAGAATTGAGGGGTTTTGCCCATTGTGTGAGTGTTTTTAGATTTGTGTGTAGAGTTCTGAGAGTATGAGGCATTCTTTCAGAAAATGTGTGTAAACAATCGAGAAAAACTGTAACACGTAATCTTCCTGAGGTCAACCTAGTGAAATTTCCTCTCAAAATATATGATGGGTGGGGTTTGTTCTTTTTTTGTTTCACTATTGCGTTGCTCGAGCTACTGCTATCCAGTCACAGACTTTGCAATCTGCGTTACAGTGATAAAGTTTTTTTCTTATTTACAGTATTTTCTGATCAATTGTTTTTCAAAATGCTTCAACATTTCTTTGGACTTTTTTATCTCTTGGCAGTTTCACAGCTTTTGACTTTCACAGGTTTGTATGTTGACTTAATTCTGTATTTTATTATTTATGCATCTGGAATGAGACCAACTATGTTTTAAACTTTAGCTTTTACTTTATTGTAGGCTAAATGAAGTTGGGAGTGTTCAATTAATTTGCGTTCAGTAAAAAAGTTTTGAGTCCTGCCAAAAGATGCCTTTCTACTGAATTAGTAAAGCTTTTTTTTTTTTTTTTTTTTTTTTTTTTTTTGCAATAGACAACAAAATGACAATATGTAATGCAATATGACAATAAACATTTTTCACCTATAAAATACAAAACTCTAGAGGACTGTGGACCAGTAATCAGTTTGCAGGTCTTAATGACTCTTGGAAAGTTATTTCTGTGTCTGCTTGTAATCTAACACTTCAGTGCTGCTATTCTGTGCTGAATATTCATCAGTTTCAAATCACATCCTTCTCAATGTGTTTAACAGGTTCATATGCTGATGAATGTCCAGTTCAGCTCAACCCACAGAGAGTTATTGTGGAGTTCGGCGGTTCTGTCTCAGCCGACTGCAGCACTTCTGTCCCGCATACAGGATTGGGATGGGAAGCCAGTGAGGGAGGAGTGCCCATGAGCAGAGACAGTCTGATCACATGGAGAGTGTCAAACCTGACAGAATGGGACATAGAGCCAATCTGCTTCATAAACTATAATAAAGGACAGTGTACAGTACCTCTCCCAGTGACAATTTACAGTGAGTTTCTCTGTTATTGATACTTTTATATTCTCAGAAATATCTACTGTACATTGATGACTGCAGATATCAGAGAGTGTAAATCTTCCTCCACAGAGACTCCAGACAGTGTGTCCATCAGCACTGTGAATCACACCGGACCAATGATGGAGGGAAACCAGTATGAGCTCCAGTGTGACGTTCTCAATGTGGCTCCTGTTCAGAATCTCATTATCAACTGGTACAAAGGACAGACTCTGGTGGATCAAACCAACTTCACTGACACCATCAAGACTCCAGTCAGTAAAACATCTAAACTCCTGATCCGTCCAGACAGAGCTGATGATGGAGCTCAGTACTGGTGTGAAGCAAAGCTGGAACTGGGAGAAGAAGGACCTCAACCTCCTCCAACAGCCCCGTCAAAACATCTCAATGTTGAAGTTTTCTGTAGGTTTACTTATTACTTGCAAAGTTAATTAAATTTAATTTAGTTTATACTTTTTGAAGGGTGCATGAATGATGTGCAATTGTCATATTTCATCATATTTTTACATATTAACTGAGATAATTTGATAAATATTGCATATTATGAATTAAATGAACATAAATATGTTTCAGTTGTGAAAATATGTAGCTCTGTTCTCCTCAGATAAACCAAAACACTCCAGTTCAACAGAGACCATCAGTATAAATGATGAGCTAAACTGTACAGTGAAGGCAAACCCGGCTCCTACGTACTCATGGCAGTCAGAACATCTGAAAGAGACGATCACGTCCTCAGTGCTTCAGTCCTCCACGATCAGTTCAGGAAACTACAAGTGCATCGCCTCAAACTCTCAGGGAAACGACACCAAAGTGTTCATCCTCAAGTCTACAGGTGGGTAATAAATGAAAAGATAAATGAACTGCATATCATCTGTCTGTTCGATAAAATGTATAATTTACAGTAAATATTTTTTGCTTATAGTTTTGAATATGATTTAATAAATGTTCATTTAGACATTTTGAATTAAATTTATTTTTATTTATTTAGCTAGTCATTTTGCTCTGATTGAAAATGGGGAAGGAATTGAGGGCACATTTGTGAAATAACTGATGACTTCCTTGAGTCATTTGTACTGATATATGACAAAAACTCCTTCCGGATGTCGGGTCGAGTGTTTCCTCAGCAGCTCTAGCTCTGCTCGTCTCTCTTCTGTAACTACAGGGATTGAGCTTTGAAAACATTGTGTGTGTGTTTCTGTTTGTACCATCATTCACACAGCTCTTCTTTCACAGGCAACCGTCCCACATTCTGGACTCTTCTTATCCTCTCACAGTTTCTGATTGCATCGATATTTGTCATATAGGAGAGAAATAGCTGTCGAATTTTTTTTTTTCTCCAAAATGATTCTCCAAACTGTTATTACACATCCCTTTTATTCTGAAATGAAATTCCTGCCTTTAAATGTTAGCATGAAATTTAACACCTGATAGTCACTGAAAAGTCAATTTTCTTGAATGTTTACTTAGATTTTTTTATTTTTTTTTAGATTTTTTTTTTTTAATTAGTGGACAAAATAAATTACTACCTTAAAATCTCACAAAAAAGTATGGTAAATTTCATTCCCTTAACCCAATGTATTGTATGTTATATATTACTTGTTTTCATTTTTGATTCCATATATCAAAATATATGCGATGCGCAACATTGAAACACTTTTTTTTTAAGTAATATCAAGATTTTAGCTTTAAATGCATTTATATCATGGGTTCTTTGACTGTTCGCTGTGAAGTTTAGAACCGTTTTCCTGTCATTTGTATTACAGTTTTTTTTTCGATTGCTAAACCACAGTGCCGACAACTGGAGCTACATGTGCAAAACTCTAACTCCAGTCTGCACAGCAGCAGTTCATGTGGAACAAACTCTAATTCGTTTTTCATTGCTTGAACACAGTTTTCAAAACTCTACACACTTATCCCATGACTTTAACCACAACCTGCACAACACTGTGGGTTTACAGCACTTACTTCAAATGCTAACACACTGCTATCAAAACTGTGAACCACACCCTCAGAGCAGAATAGATTTCAGCCTTGTGAATTTCACATGCTGCTGATTTTCAAACAATTTCAGCTGAAAGGCTGAAAACTTGTGGCCTAATGCTTGAGAGAGGCAGGGTTACAGTATTACAGTATGTATTTTTAGTTTCTACCTTTTTTTTTTTTTTTTTTTTGCTCATTACTGTAATTCTCTGAGCCTGTTTTGTAGGTGTAGTGAACTGTTTAACTAGAGTCTGCACAACCAACAGTCACCTGAGCTAGAGTTTTGCACATTTAGCTCCATTTGTGCTCACTGTCGTTTAGCAATCGAAAAAAAAAAGTGATGTCTAGTGTAAAATCTGGATCTGGGGGGGAAAAAACTGAGAACCATTACAGTTTTTTACAGTCGCTAGGACACATTTCTCAATACTTAGGTCACTTTTTCAAAACTCTTCACACAGTGAGCACAACAGAAGTATATGTGGGCTAAACTGTGTATCAATTATCATTGCTTTGGCACAAAATGCATTCAATGACTACGTCTTTCAAATTACATTAATTCTTTTCTCACTTCGACACAACAACCGCCAAAACTCTGTGTTCCTATACGCATATGCTTACACACTGTTTTCAAAACTGTTAAACTTATGTTCAAAACAAAAACATAATACAAAACTGAATAAAACAGCAATTTGCTACATTTCTACAGTAATATTTTAATGAAATATATTTTGCATCTTAAATATTAAATGCTTTAAAAATAAGTGGACAATTGTACCAACCACAGCTGATTCTCATTGTACTGTAGATGAACATCTACACAGGTGTTACTGTTTCTATTTCATTACAAAAGGAGACAACTGTTGAAGAGTTTTGTATTGTGATGTAAACATGGACCCAGCCAGAAACAGAGAACCCAGCTAACAAAGTTAGGTTCTGAGAACGTTTTTCTAACGTTCCATTTTGGTTGTGGGAACGTTAATTTAAAATGTTCTAAAAACGTGGAAATGTCCAGTTTGCTTAACGTTGCTGGAACGGTGTCTTAATGTTTGCAGAACGTTGCTGGAACGTTAGCATAATGTTGTTATAACGTTATCCTAAGGTTAGCATAATGTTGCTGGAACGTTATGAGAACGTTTATCAAACACAAATAACCTGATAAAGACGTTCCGATAACGTTGTTCTAAGAACGTTTTTTATTAACGTAATGAGAACGTTCATCAAATACAAATAACGTGATAAAGACGTTCCAAGAACGTTGTTCTAAGAACGTTTTCTCTCAACGTTACAAGAACGTTAATAATGTTATATGGACGTTACGAAAACATTATTTTAATAACGTTTTGTCCTAACATTTACACAACTTTTAAAGAACGTTAGTGAATGTTCTGGGAACGTTCCCTGTTAGCTGGGAAGTGGCTGAAAGAGGAAGAAGAGGGGCTGGGAGGGGGCGAGGAATACGTAAGAGCTGTAGTCTCAGATGAGATCAGAGCTACTGTAATTGATCATGTAGTAAATCATGGTCTCTCAATGAGAGAGGCTGGTCAGAGAGAGCATTACTATTGTATCTGTATCAGTGGATGGTGTGTATACAAATTCTTGTATTTTGGAATTACTCAGTGCAAAAAAATAAAAATAAAAGACATAAAATATATTGAAGCATTCTGCATCATGTCTGATTCATTCCAGTAAACTCTATTGCAGTGAATTATAAACAAAGATTGTATAATGCTACATGTTGTTAGTGTTCTTTAGGTCATTGTGTTGTGGGTGACAAAGTGTGTTTGTTGGCTGTCAACCTTTGCTAGTGTTATGGAAGAATGTGTTGATTTGAGAAATGAATGAAGTGTTTTGGTAGTTTTAGTGCATTTTGAATGTGAAATTAACTGCTGTGCTGAGCTGAAAGCTGGTTAGGAGAACTGTGTGAAGAGTTTTGAAAAAGTGACCTAAGCATTGAGAAATGTGTCCTAGCGACTGTAAAACTGTAATGTACATGACATCATTTAAAAGAAAACTGTAAATGAAAAGTAAATGATAAAATGTAATTTTTTACATTATTGTTTACAACAGCAGTATTCTAGTAGTATATTTGATTGTTATCTTGTAATATCTCAATTACAGTTTTTTTTTTCGATTGTTAAACGACAGTGAGCACGACTGGAGCTAAATGTGCAAAACTCTAACTACAGTCTGCATTACCAACAGTCACCTGAGCACAACTCTTAACACACGGCTCAAAACAGGCTCAGTGTGCACAACCCTCACTGAGATAACACACACTGTCACTCAGAACACACTGAGAGGAAAAACACTAGCATCAAACACCAATGCAGAAAATACAAACTTTTCATCTTTAGAGTTTCAACAATTTCAGTGACTTCATACAAAGTAATATTTTCTTCAAAGAAAACTGTGTTCTATCAATGAAAAACGAGTTTGTTCCACATGAACTGCTGCTGTGCAGACTGGAGTTAGAGTTTTGCACATGTAGCTCCAGTTGTCCTCACTGTGGTTTAGCAATCGGAAAAAAAACAAAAAAACTGTAAAAGCATTAATCATTCATTGCTCAGGTCATCTTTTAAATTTCTTCTGTATTCTGTGAATGTGAGCTGAGCACAAGTTCAGTAGTGCCACTTCCTATAAGCAGAAAAACACAAGAAAATTGTCATGAAAAACTGAATTATCAGCAATTAGAGCTTGGGAAGGGTTGCAGTTTCACACATTTAGTTTTCACACTATGTCAGTGAGAATACACACAAGGTGTGTTATAGAAGAACATGTTAACCACAGCCATCTTGTGATGTGCCATTACCTCTTTGTGACAGTGGATGGCTGTGGAAAATTAATTTTTATTTAAAATAAACTACATTTTAAGGTGTTTTTCGTTGAAAATTCTGTCACTTGAGTTTAGTTTAGTGACAGAGCCCTGAAACTTGTGTTTCGTCTTGTCTTGTGCTCGAGCCATGTGCTCTCTTGTCCATGTGCTTTGTTTCACTCCTGTCTAGTTTGGTTTTGGTTCTGTGGGGTTTGTACATTCATGCTTCATGTTTGAGAGCACGGCTTGAGTGTTCATTCACTCTTGTGTCGCATGTTTGTAGAGTGCCTGGTTTATGTTTTCATTTGCCAGGCGTTCTTGTGTTTTCATGTTCTATAGTACGTGGTTCATTTAACCCTTGTGCTGCATTCGATTTTTAACACCGTTGAGTGCATTAAGGACCAAAAATGGCCACATATTAAACATTGCCTAAAATATTATATATTATTATTATTTTCCACTTTTACCAAGTTAAATCTTTTAACCAGCATCAGTCCTCATCATAACTACCAAAAATGTATTCAATTTCAGGATTTTAACCCTTTAATTACCAGTTTTGTTTGCGAAACCATCGATTTGTATAAGAGGAAAAAACACAAAAATTCTATTATTTTCAATAAACTAAATGCAAAGAGAAAACTTTAGATTTGGATTATCACAGTCCCACTTTGCAAAAAATCCCACTTACACCAAAAATGGCCACCTATTAAACATTGCCTATTGCCTAAAATAAGGTGCATTTCCACCCATAGGGAATAAATATGTAGTGACGTCATCTGGTGGAATACACTATATAATGCAAATATAATGCTTTTGCTTCAAAATGAAAGGATGTTTGTGCAAAAATCATGTTTCATGTATTACTGACAGCCTTAGATTTAAACAACGTTTTAATGGGTTTCAATGGGCCATTTTTGGTCTTTATGGTGCTGAGTGTTACTATTTGATCTACACATTGTGTGTTATACATATTTTGCAAAATGGGATCACATTTTTTACATGCATCCAAAAAGTCACAATTTTGCCAACTTTCATACCAT